GAACTTTTTTTGTCTGGTGCCTAAAGGTGCATAATGAAGGTGCCTGGTGAACCTCACTGGGGAGAGCATTCCACAAACAGGGAGCCACTGCAGAGAAGGCCTGTTCTTTTCACCACCCTATACAACACCACCATTAGAGATGGTTTCTGAGGAAGGTTGTAGCTAAAATGCTTGTTCTATTTGGAGAAGACCTATTGAAATCAATAGACACAACTAACTTGGGTCTACTCTGAGTAAAACTTAGTTGCATACAACCCAGACTTCTCAAATAATGTGAGTTGTCTTGGACTTCTGTATTAACTTTTACCTATGGGAGCTTCCAGAGGTGTGGCTCTTCTGGCATGATTCAATCCCTTAGTGGCAAATTCAGGTCAATCAGAGTCACAGTTGCTCTGGCCCTCTTCCACACCAAGCCTGACCCATCCCCTTACCAAAAAATGATGAGTTGTTTTTTTTTTTGGTCACAGGGAGAGCAATAGGAAAATGCACTGGAAATTGTGGGGTGATACTTGCTTGGCACAGCATCCTGGATTCTCCGTGCACGCAAATCAAAATTAAGGCTCAATAAATAGCTGGTGTCTGCTAACTTCTCTGTGCAAACAAGCGAATGTTTGGCTAACAGGCCATCTGGAAGCGGCATTTTCTTTTCTGTTAAGGAAATTCCTAAATTGTCTATCCCTGATTTTGTGGGGGCCAGTTCTTAGGTTCTAATAATAATAATAAATTATTTATACCCCGCCCGTCTGGCTGGGTTTCCCCAGCCACTCTGGGCGGCTTCCAACCGAATATTAAAAACAATACAGCATCAGACATTAAAAACTTCCCTGAACAGGGCCGCCTTCATTGCCTTGACATCTGTTGGGAGGGCATTCCACAGGGCAGGCGCCACTACCGAGAAGGCCCTCTGCCTGGTTTCCTGTAACCTCACTTCTCGCAGCGAGGGAACCGCCAGAAGGCCCTTGGCGCTGGACCTCAGTGTTCAGGCTGAATGATGGGGGTGGAGACGCTCCTTCAGGTATACAGGACCAAGGCCGTTTAAGGCCAAGGGAGCCAGTGTTTGCCCACAGACAGCTTTCTGGGTCATGTGGCCAGAAGGACTGAATTGTGCTCGGAAACGTAATGGGAGCCAATGAAGATCTTTCAGGACTGGTGTTATATGGTCTTGGAGGCCACTCCCAGTCACCAGTCTACCTGCCGCATTCTGGATTAATTGTAGTTTCTGGGTCACCTTCAAAGGTAGCCCCACATAGAGCGCATTGCAGTAGTCCAAGCGGGAGATAACTAGAGCATGCACCACTCTGGCGAGACAGTCTGTGGGCAGGTAGGGTCTTAGCCTGCGTACCAGATGGAGCTGGTAGACAGCTGCCCTGGACACAGAATTAATCTGTGCCTCCATGGACAGCTGTGAGTCCAAAATGACTCCCAGGCTGTGCACCTGGTCCTTCAGGGGCACAGTTACCCCATTCAGGACCAGGGAGTCCTCCACATCTACCCGCCCCCTGTTCCCCAAGAACAGTACTTCTGTCTTGTCAGGATTCAACCTCAATCCGTTAGCTGCCATCCATCCCTCCAACTGCCTCTCCCCCTTCAACTTCACCCTACATGGCTGCCGTGTTTTGTTTTTGTTTTTTTAAAAAAATTCCACTACATTTTGTGAAAAGAACCACTAATGTTCTGACTTCCCCCACTGTTGTCTTTTAGAAGAGCAGTGTGGGGAATGGCAGGCAAAGCAGCCAGCACCCCTCCTGATACATAGGAATTTGCCCTGTGTGTTGAACCCAAGCTTCTCCAACATATTAGATAATACTGGCACGCAGTATTGTAGCTCTAATGTTTCCCACTAAACAGTTTTCAGATTATCTTTGAAGGTGAAAATGATGGCAGGTTATAGGGTACTACATTCAGATATGTTCCCATTCGGATTATCAACGAGAAAAGCTTGTTGCTTCTCAAACATTCCTGTGAACCCGCAACACTGAATACGCTTACCAACAAATGACACGGGAAACGTTTCTTTCTAGAATGGAATGTTACTTCCTGTTTTGGTCCTAGAAATGCTATTTTATCCTTTCCTTGTGGGTGGGTGGGGGCAGCAAGAGGCAATTAACTCTTTGGATTTCTTTTTTGTAAATAGCTTGAATTAGGTTTGCATCTATTTTTAAATACCTAAAAAATAAAACATATTAGTGAGCCAGCCAAAATAGCTTTCCCCTGAAAGGAATGAACACCTCTCGGCTGCCAAAGGCCACTCGAAGCCTGTGTGCAAGCCAAAATGAATTGGGGGAAGTTATATGTAGCACTGATTCATTTCAGTAGGACTGGTACATGAGAAGGCCAAGTAAACTATATCCACGTTTGTCCTCCAGGCTAAGGACCTGATGGAAGTAAGTAGATCTAGGCCCTTTTCACACATCAGGTTTTTAGGAGCGCACCTAAAAATATGTAGTATGACTTAAGTCACTTCCAGAGTGTCGCTGTTTTGCAGATGAGATTCAGTCATGCACAAGCAAATCACAATTAAAGTGATTTTGATGTGGCACTCTTGTGCAACAATAGTTTTATCCCCTAAATAGTACTTTTTTTGCTGTAAGAAAATAATGGGGGAAACATTGGAAAGTATGGAATAGCAATTGCTTGATACGACATCATAAAACCTTCCCTCAAACTTGGTGCAAACAAACTGGGATGAATGCTCAATAAACAGTTTGCCTGAGAGTGATCTGTGATTAAACAGGTATTTAATATATTTAAAGACAGGTATACCTGTCACAGTCTGGGACGTGGGTGGCGCTGTGGGTAAAACCTCAGCGCCTAGGACTTGCCGATCGCATGGTTGGCGGTTCGAATCCCCGCGGCGGGGTGAGCTCCCGTCGTTCGGTCCCAGCTCCTGCCCACCTAGCAGTTCGAAAGCACCCTTAAGTGCAAGTAGATAAATAGGTACCGCTGTATAGCGGGAAGGTAAATGGCGTTTCCGTGTGCTGCTCTGGTGCCGGTTTGCCGGAGCAGCTTCGTCACGCTGGCCACGTGACCCGGAAGTGTCTGCGGACAGCGCTGGCTCCCGGCCTCTAGAGTGAGATGAGCGCACAACCCTAGAGTCTGTCAAGACTGGCCCGTACGGGCAGGGGTACCTTTACCTTTACCTTTATACCTGTCACAAAGAGCCAGGATTAACTGTAAAGGTGAAAAAAAGGTAAATGACCCCCTGGATGTTTAAGTCCAGTCAAAGGCGACTATGGGGTTGTGGTACTCACCTTGCTTTCAGGCCAAGGGAGCCAGTGTTTGCCCACAGACAGCTTTCTGGGTCATGTGGCCAGAAGGACTAAACTGCTTCTGGTGCAACGGGACACCGTGACAGAAACCAGAGCGCACAGAAACACTGTTTACCTTCCCGTCACAGCGGTACCCATTTTTCCACTTCAAATGGCATGCTTTTGAACTGCTAGGTTGTCAGGAGCTGGGCCAGAGCAACGGGAGCTCAACTCATCGTGGGGATTCGAACCGCTGACGTGGTGTAGTGGTTAAGAGCGGTGGACTCATAATCTGGTGAACCGGGTTCGCGTCTCCGCTCCTCCACATGCAGCTGCTGGGTGACCTTGGGCCAGTCACACTTCTCTGAAGTCTCTCAGCCCCACTCACCTCACAGAGTGTTTGTTGTGGGGGAGGAAGGGAAAGGAGATTGTTAGCCGCTTTGAGACTCCTTCGGGTAGTGATAAAGCAGGATATCAAATCCAAACTCTTCTCTTCTTCTTCCGATCAGCAAGCCCAAGAGGCTTAGCAGCACCTGCTGTAACTCCTTGTTGCACATGCTTTATGGCAGTTCTGGTTACTTGCTCTGTATTGTACAGTTGGAGTCACTGCAAAACCTTCCTTTATCTTTTTATTATTATTTGTGATTTTAATTGTTTTCTGGGTGTTTTATGTGTTAGGTTTCAAACACCTTGCTCAGAGGCTTCTTGGGCTCCAGGGAGAGTCCTTGAAGGCACCATTGCACCCATGGATTACTTGTTGACAACTCCAGATTTAGATGAAGGAGAGGAAAATCCTTATCAAAACTGCAGGTGACACAAAACCCGAAGGGTTCGCTAGCGCCTCAGAAAATAGGTATAACATTCAAAACGACATTGGTAGAATATGAAACTGGGTTGAAACTAACAAGATGAAATTCAGCAGAATTTCAGCCCTTGGGGGGGGCAGGTATGGGTTAAGCTACGAGACAGGAATTGGCTGAAGGTCACCCAGTGAGCTTCATGGCGGAGTAGGGATTTGAACCCTGGTCTCCCACTCCCTAGGGACGCGGGTGGCGCTATGGGTTAAACCATAGAGCCTAGGGCTTGCCGATCACAAGGTCAGCGGTTTGAATCCCCGCGCCGGGGTGAGCTCCCGTTGCTCGGTCCCTGCTCCTGCCCACCTAGCAGTTCGAAAGCACGTCAAAGTGCAAGTAGATCAATAGGTACCGCTCCGGCGGGAAGGTAAACGGCGTTTCCATGCGCTGCTCTGGTTCACCAGAAGCGGCTTAGTCATGCTGGCCACATGACCCGGAAGCTGTACGCCAGCTCCCTTAGCCAATAAAGCAAGATGAGCGCCACAACCTCAGAGTCGGCCACGACTGGACCTAATGGTCAGAGGTCCCTTTACCTTTACTCCCACTCCCTCAGAGTCTGGCAGCCGTCCATAGTCCATAGATGCCAATGGCTGACGCTGTCTGGAGCCGGTGGGAGACCTGGTTTCTATTGGCCTCATGTTGTCCTATCTACATCCTAGTTCTCATTGGCATGGTAAACTTAAGCCTGGGCTTTACCACTTCAATCTGTAGGGGTGTGTGGGGGGGTCAAATAAAGGAATGCCCTCCATTGAAGAAAGCAAGTTGGTCCCTACATATAGAATAGTAGCATGTTGGGGTGAATGCTAGGCTAGAACCGTTCTTTCTGACATGTCAGCTTTTTATTCACTTTCTGCATGGAAGAGCACATAAGAACCCCCCACCTGTGCTCCGAAGTGGTACACGCCAGGCTTAGGCTTACCCCTGCATTGAGAGAGTAGCCCCTTGTCGAAGAGGGCAATTGTCCCTAGTTATTGCTAGATATCATGATGGAAACAGCTGCCTCTTGGTTTATAAATCATCGGTGGTGAGTAAACCTGCTTATTGTGGTCTTGCAGATGTTTCTCAGGTCCCATTTTATGCCGCAGGTTGTAAGAAGGTGGTAATATTCTTGACTTTATAAAGTACAGTGGTACCTCTGGTTAAGAACTTAATTTGTTCCGGAGGTCCGTTCTTAACCTGAAACTGTTCTTAACCTGAGGTACCACTTTAGCTAATGGGGCCTCCTGATGCCGCTGCGCGATTTCTGTTCTCATCCTGAGGTAAAGTTCTTAACCCGAGGTACTACTACTGGGTTAGTAGAGTCTGTAACCTGAAGTGATTGTAACCCGAAGCATTTGTAACCTGAGGTACCACTGTATAGAAAAGTATTTGAGGGATACCCACCTAAGCGCTCTGCTTGGGTTTCATTTTTTTTTGCTCCCATTCAAACCCCTGTTTTGTTATGCAGGGTTTAGAAAAAACCTATTATGAGGGAAGAGCAGTTCTGGTGGTGTAAGCTGACTGACCTCCCCTCCCCTCACCCCAACCACAAAATTTAGTTTTAAATTTGCAGCGCAGAGAGTCTTGACAGTCATCACCAATGCCCTGCATAGGACATTCATCCCAAACACAGGTCTTTGTCTCATCATGGGGCTTTCAATACATTAGATTTGAAAACAGAGAAGGGAGTTAATGAAATTCTGAGCGGTCCAGGGGGCAATACCTTTTCTTTCTGCGATGTCTTTTAGATAGACTTGGATCCTTATGTGTGCTCTTTGTCACATAAAGATCAGGCTTGTTTAAAACAAAGGAGTGTTGACCTTCCAACCCTCCCCAAGCCTGTGGCGGCTTTCAGGACTCTTTGTTTGCTTTTAAGTGGGTAGGTGACACTTCTCGCCTTTCTGGGTTTTCAGTTATCTTCATTCATCTTATCACCACATAAAATAGTTGTTTTGTTTTGTTTTTAAAAAATCCTTTGCCTTTATCTTTAGGTTAGGTTAGTCTCTTAGTATTAGATTTTTGAACTAATAAAAGCAAATACGAGATGTTTGAAGCATTACAATTTTTTCATATTGGGAAATGTTGGGGACTTTGATGTTTTACAAAATCACTTGCACGTTTACTGAAATGAAACCAAAGTTCTTGCTCTTTGAAATACATTTTTTAAGAACCTTGGGGGTAGGTATTTCTGTGCTTTTACAAAAAACAACAACCCCCAAACCTTTCTGTTATCAAAAGGATATATGTTTAGAGAAATGCATTGTTTTCGTGTAAAATATGTGTGTACGTTGCTTATTGCTGTGAACTTTAAATGTCCATTTTTACTTCAGCTTGCATTAGACCAGTTAGCCAATCCTTCTGCTTGCCCCAAGGATTACTTTCTCTGTTTCTGCAATCTCTTGTGTAGCTGGTCATTGAGGGAATAGTTGCTGGATTCTAATGTCTAGGTAAGATGCTTTTTTCTGCCACTCATTTTTTGGGGGGGGGAAGACTAGTGTTGATGCCATTTAACATTAGCAATCACAAAGCCTAGCTCTACTGTCTCAGTGACTTTAGAGCCCAGCCAAACAACTTGTCCACCAATTGAATATGACTGACGCTGATCTCCCATGTTATCTCTCCATATAGTGCCCTGTTTTCATTGTTGTGTTTCCTTCTCTTCAGCAAAGTGAGCTGAACTCCTTCCTGTGGACTATAAAAAGAGACCCGCCGTCCTACTTTTTTGGTACCATTCACGTCCCGTATACCCGGGTCTGGGATTTTATCCCTGACAACTCCAAGAGGGCCTTCCAGCAGAGCCATATTGTCTACTTTGAATTGGACCTCACCGATCCCTACACAATATCTGCTCTTACCAGTTGCCAGCTCCTGCCACAGGGCGAAAACCTTCAGGATGTGCTCCCCAGGGACATTTACCGCCGGCTCAAGCGCCACTTGGAATATGTCAAGCTCATGATGCCTTCCTGGATGACTCCAGACCAACGGGGCAAAGGCCTGTATGCTGACTATCTCTTCAATGCCATCGCAGGGAACTGGGAGAGGAAAAGGCCAGTATGGGTCATGCTGATGGTGAATTCTCTGACTGAGGTGGACATTAAGTCACGTGGTGTACCTGTCTTGGATCTCTACCTCGCCCAGGAAGCTGAACGCCTTCGAAAGCAGACCGGGGCAGTGGAAAAAGTAGAGGAGCAATGCCACCCACTGAACGGCCTCAGTTTCTCCCAGGTAAGGGAAACTGAAGTTTTCTTTGCCTACTGTCCTATACGTCCTACAATCTGTGCTTTGATCATTCTTAGTTGGCAATCCACATTCCCCTTTCCTCGGAGGTTGGGGGGCAGAGACCACAAAGCGGGCAAAATATTTGAATTGGCTTCTTGCATTGGAACTCTGGAATGCTCCTTAGGGAGATTCCAGAACTTTGCTTCTTGTCAAAGAAGCAAATGTCCCGGCCTTAGGAGGTCCATACCATAGGAGAACACTCTATTAAGACCCTCAGCATTTGAAATTTCTGGTTGCTGAAACATGTAGATAGATGCATCTCTCCTCCAGTTGCAGAAAACTGGGTTTTGCCTGCTTCCTCATGTTGTGTTTGACTTCCTAATTAATCATTGGCAACTGCTGCTTTCAACTTAAATAGGGTATTTGGCAAAGTGCTTAGTAACCCTGATAGCAACACGGCATGGATTTACTTAGGAAGGGCACCTTTCAGTATAGGATATCATGGAATACGTTCAAGAATGCAACATGTTGGAGTGCACATTGACTAATAGCAAACATGTTAAACCAATTAAAAAATTATCCAGTAGCACCTTATACCCAGAACAAACTTAGTTGGTCTCTAAGGTGCTACTGGACAACTTTTTAATTTATTTCGACTGCGTCAGACCAACACTGTTACCTACCTGAATGTTAAACCAGTTCAACTTGTCAAACCGTCTTTGGGAGTTGTAGTTTTCTGTAGCCCACTAGTGGGGAGCCTCCCACCCATGTGCCTAATTAGACCCACATGTCCTCCTCATTTGCCCCATGAGTCAGTTTCTGACGAGCTACACCCACCTGCCCTACACCCAGCTGCGTATAAAACATCAGGTGTGGGGCAGGTAAGGACATAGCTCCCTGCCAAAAGTGATGTTTGTATGATTGTGGGCAGTTGGGAAGACACAGCACGACCATGTTGCGCCCATTCCCTTGCTGGTTTGATTTCAAACTGTGTGTGGGCAAAGAACGTGGGTCACTTGACACAGGGTCGGATTAAGACCTTTAGACGCCCTAAGCACTTAAAAGATTTTTGTGCCCCCATATATATTGAATTCAAAATGTAAACAATGAAAAACCATAAAATAAAATTTTACTTTTCCAAATGAAACAAAACCTACAGCAAGATGGAAAAAATGGATAGTTTTCTGTATACTTCTATTTTCCATTTGAAAAAAAATTCTCCTACTTTCTCCAATTGCAAAGTCCGTGGTAAATCTGGCAATGGAAAAAGGGTAATTCTCCTTGGGTAATAATTACTCCCTTAAGAACAGAAGGAGAGTGTGCTGGATCCGACCAATGGCCTTATATCTAGTCCAGCATCCTGTTCTCACAGTGACCAACCAGATGCCCATTATGGGAAGCAGGATTTGAGCGCAAGAGCCCTCTCCCCTCCTGCTGTGGTTTCTGTATTCTGTATTCAGAAGCATCACCACTTCTGACTGTGGAGGCAGATCATCGCCATCCTGGCCTTCGATAGCCCTCTCCTCTTCCACGAATTTGTCTAATCCACTTTTAAAGCCATCCAGGTTGGTGGCCATTACTGTCCCCCGTGAAAAGCAAGTTCCATAGTTTTAACTATGCGCTGCGTGAAGGACTTTCTGTCATCTCTCTTTGAGTCTTGCAACATTCAGCTTCGCTGGGTGGTCCCCAAGTTCTCAGTGTGCCGAGAAAGGGAGAAAACCCTTTCTCTGCACACCGTGTGCCATTTAAAAACTGCATTCCAGGGGGTTGGACTACATGACCCTACGGGAGCCTTTCAACTCTACAAATCTGCCACTGAGAGGCTGGTGGAAAGGAAGTGCCTGGATTCCAGTGAGCCACAAACTCCTCTAGGAGCAGGGGGAAAGCCACCTGTCTATCCATGAATAAGGTCCATGAATAATCATAGTTTAGAGGTCCTGGGTCCTAAGGAAGTCAGATTATCCTCCACCAGGGTCAGGGCCTTCTCAGTGATGGCTCCGATCTGATGGAATGCTCTGTCCCATGAGACCAGGGCCCTGCAGGATTTAACTTCCTTCCACAGGGTCTGTAAGACAGAGCTATTCTGCCTGGCTTTCAATTTGAACTTAGCCTGATCTCCCCCCCCTTCCCTCCCCCTCTCCTTTTCATGAAGATTACCCGCTCTGGGACCCCACAGCTAATTCTCCCCTGGTCTCCTCGCTGGCCCAAATAGGACTAATTTAGCCAGCTAGTCCTGGTGATCATCCCATGTTTATTGGATGGATTTTCCCCCTAAATTGATTTTTGAATTCTGAATTTATTGTAATTCACGTTTTATGCTGTATTTTATGCTGTTTTTTTGTTGCATCAAGTAAGTGTTTTAAATTTGTTGTTAGCCGCCCTGAGCCCAGTTTTCTGAACTGGGAAGGGCAGGGTATAAATAAAAAATTATTATTATTATTATCCCCCAACCATTGGTGCTCTCCTACAAATGCACGCATTTTGAAAACCTTTTCTCCCTCTTGGGTGCTTTAAGCTCATTCAACTGCCAATCCAGACCCTAGGGCAGTGGTAGCCCCTCCTCACTGTTCCACCCAGGACCCCCCTCCTCCTTATCACCAGCTCCTGAGCGCCACCGAGTGGCACCTTACTGGCGACAGCAGCACCTCCCGGAGGAGCAGGCAGGGACAGCAAGCCTTCTAAAAGTTTGATTTAAAAATTATTTTAAAGGACAAGACCTGGATCCAATGTGGTTGTGTGTGTATGTGTTTTAAAAGAATGTTTATCAAATAGTCTTGTCAAAATTCAGTTTGAGTCAAAGCTTGCTGCTCCGCTGTCCTTAGAGAACCTGCCAGGGTAATGAACTGTGCACACTGCAAACCATAGAGTCTGAGTTAGTGTGTATTTCTGCACCAAGTCAAATTGTTTATGCTGATGGATTGATAAGACTTAACTAAAAATAAATAAATCCACGAACTACTGTTTTTGAAGAAACAACTGCATAGCAATCCGACCTCACTTAACCAAGTGATGAGTCATGATACAATTGAACATGGCTCGTTACAGTTTTCATGCAGCATATGGATGTGTTTTGTTCAGTAAACATAAATACGCCTTTTCAATACTAGGGTTGTGTGTTTGCATGTGTTTAAACAGTACAGCATTGAAAATATTATTTTGAATAAATGAAAAGCACATTGCATTTTATATTTATGGAAACATTTCCCTTCCTGGGATAAACTAGGTCGGCAGGACTGGAGATTTGAATTATTGAGCTGGGAAAGGGGGAGAGTTCAGAAGAAATAGGGGGCATTCTTCCAGTGGCTGGTGTAGGGCTCCAGCACTTTTGTTTTACTGAAAACACACAAACAAACAAACACACACACACACAACCAACAACACACACACACACACAAACACACACACTCTCCACAATTGACACAAGGCCTTTAAAATGGGGTTGAAACCCTGCAATGCCATAATGTGTTGCACATTATGTTGCAAAACATAACATAATGTGTTGTGTTGCATAGAAATAGTTAAAAATGATCACCAAGTACTTGCAATTATATATTAATATTTATGATGATGTTGACGATGAATTGCCTGACATTTTCAGAAGGTAAAATTAAAATTCTTTGGTTTTCCGGAACCAGTTTATGTGCTTCGTTGTCAAACGTAGACTTACCAATCACAAAAATAATAGCGGACTTATTCCTCACACCAAAAAACTTATTTTAAGACCCTTCCCTGGAGAAATTTGCACTCCCTGAAATTTCACTCCCTAAAGTGACACGCCCTAGTAGCACAAGACACCACTGAATAGTAAGTCTAACAGGACATATTTGCCTCTTGGTTCGTGTCAAATCCAATTTCACTGATCAGTTGACAGATAGTGTCACACCCTCCTGGGCTCTTCCAGAGCAGTGGTTAGGCCAGTCCATAATTTTCATGACCTCTTGTGAAGATAATCTGAATTTTTTTAAAAAAATATTGCTTTATCTGGCTGCAATTAAATTGCTGACTTTTGCCACGCCTCTTTAGAATAGATTCCACAAGTTGCTTGCGTATGGAAAATACTATTTCTCACGAATTTGGTTTCAAACAGTGGCTTGTTATTTACTGCCTCCATGCAATTCATGATTTGGGTCATCTACTTTGTGTTTCACTGCAGTGATTCCCCACCACTACCACCACATAATGCTTATACTTGCATTGCATTATTGCCTGTAAATACTTTGTTAAGAAC